AACTTTAAGTCGCCATCTGGTCCTAAGTCAGAGAATTTCCAAGTTAAGGGAGGTCCTAAAATGAATAAAGTAAAAAAAGTGTTACTTTTTCATATATGAACTACAGTGACCCTAAAATGAAGACACCTAAGGTATAAATAAATGTTAAGAAACAGAGGAGAGACTTTGAGACAGACGCTGCTCCATCTTAAAATGACAGAGAGGCTGACATGATTGCATATTCAAGAGGGTATGTTATTCTATTTAAAATGATATTTGCAAGCATTTAGTTTACTCTTATAAACTCTGCTATAAATTATTGTAATGGATTTTATATGTCTATATTTATATTTTTATATAATAAATATCTAAAAAAGACAAAACTTTATTGCTTCCAAGACAATCCTTATCGTATATTGTATTCTCAATTATTTATATATTTTAGATAGAGGATCTCTTACTAATTATATAATATTATGGCCATCTGTAGATATCTGTATGATTAGCCCTGCTAAGTTCTATGCTTTAAGACATTATAGTGGTAAAGGGAACCAGCCGCGGTTACAATTGCCCCCCATCCCACCTATAACATAACATATCCTTCTGTTTTACAAAAGGGAATATTTTCAGCAGTAACATAAAATTATTACAAACAATCAATGTTATAACCATAATACATAAAGGGCCAATTTTTGCTAACCATGGTAGGGGTATATCCGGATACCCCTACCCCACCAGGTTCTGAGCTACCAACTAGCTTGAAACCTACCAAACTTAAACCTGAACAATATCAATCCCTTCCTAACCAACATAATAACTACCCTGTACTTAACCAAGGACCTGTTTTCCCCCTAAACTTTAGATCACTAACTCCATCACAAGCTCAGACCCTGATCCCTTAAGCTGTCAGAGAACCGCCCAAAAAACGAGGCCCTAGCCAACCCTCGCTGCCCCAGCTCTACCCAAAAAACCTTGAAGAACTGAAAATGGGAGCGTGAAGAACCATCCCGATGCATCAAAAGCGAACCCACCCCCGGAGGCTGTTGCGCTAGATACCTTGGCACCACGGTAACCGGGCATAACAGTGACCCCGGGAACGCGTGCAGCACAACATACTTACCCTTCACCAATATGAAAAAAAGCTGGGAACCTGCCTGGCCCACACATAGAAAATCATCTAAGTAGTGGACCACAGACCGACTCCCAGCCTCCATTGTAACGACCCATTCTAGGAAGGAACTAAACGTTTCAAAATGCGCGCAGGAAATCGAACAGTCCATAGGGAGGACCAAATTGATGAAGTATGACGCGTCGAAAAAACAACCTGTAGCGGAGCTCCCTGTACCTCGACTGGGTATCTCTGCCAAAGGTACTGTTCCTAGCTGGAACAGGGGAACCAATAGGGGAACTAGGTCTCAGTCTTTACAAGGACTTTCCCAACTGCATCTTCCACGAGCTGCGACAAGCTGGCTCAGGGATTAACCCTTTCTCCCCCCCCCCCCAGTAACTGGACAACACCTAGTTCTGGAGGTACAACTCTGACAATCTTTATTGAAACATTCAGCTTTTATGCACAAACCACCGCAGGGGGTCTCCAGTCAGACAGGAGGAGCCTGGGTTACTTATAGCCATCTCCCTGACCTGGGAGATACCAACAGCACATACACACATTAAAACATTTCACATATGGGGGGCGAAACTTAGGAGCTCCACATTAAGGGAAGGGGTCACACATATAAAACGTACATCACTAGATAGCCCCAGGTCCCACCTGGGATCCCTGCAAATAGTGGGGCTATCGGATGTGCAAACCCTGAGAAACTCTCGTACAAAGTCTGGGCTCGAGGGTCTGTACATACCCAAAAGTAGTTCCAGGGGGTTGCTTGGTTTAGTCCTGGAAGTTCAAACTTTGCGCCTAAACCAAGCAACAACCAATCAGCTGAAAGGTGCGAAACCAATTGCACCAATCATCCATTAGAGAGGAGAGGGGTTTTGTCACCCAATCAGGAGAAAGGGCGCAAAACCCCATTTAAAAGGGCGCTCCCTCTCCGATTGATTGCCTGCGTCCCGCAGTGACCAATCAGTGCTCCCTCGTGCCAACCCAACAGGAGAATAGCGCAACCCCAGTTTGAATGGAGCTCCTTCTCCTATTGGTTGGCACGGACTTCCAGGTGGTCAGCGGACCTCTGTGGCTGTGAAGCCAACTCACAGCCCCAGGGATCCCGCTGGGGCTTGCGCCTTTCTCGGGTGGCTACCTCCACTTAGGTAGCCCCGGGGAGAGCACTCTCTGGGCAGCTACGAGCCTGGCCTCGTAGCTCCCAGGTATGGAGGACAGTGATTAAAGCTCTGTTAGGAGCAGGTAGTGCAAGCCCCGACACTGGGACCTGAAACCATGCGGGCATGCCAGTTCGAGATATGAATGCTTTCACTGGTTGGCATTTGGCTATACGAACTGGCAGCCACCCACGGAAGCATTCGTTAATGATTTCCCTTGTGGTTTCAGGACATTATAATGAGCATTCTAAATAGGAAATCAGGGTGGCCCCCGTTCGGGAGACGAACGGGTTCCGTTCGTATGAGCTCTCCCAAACAGGGAACAGGCAAAACACACAAAATACACACAATTCCCCCCCCTGAATTTTTCAGCTTGTGCTGGTATTTTTCTTTTGAGAGTGAGAATACACTACAATACCGGCGCTGACCAGTAGGTGGTGCTGTGTATGGAGAAAGGCAGGGATAGGAAGCTACATCTTATCCCTGCTGCTCTCTCCTGACTGAATCCACAGAGGAGCAGCACAGAGTGCAGTCAGCAACTCCCAGACATCAGAGACTGCCTTCAGATCAGGTAAGTGAGGAATGGGGGAAGCAGCCTACAGATCAGGTAAGTGAGGCATGAGGGGCAGTTTGCAGATTAGGTAAGTGAGGCATAGAGAGGGCAGCCTACAGATCAGGTAAGTGAGGAATGGGGGAAGCAGCCTACAGATCAGGTAAGTGAGGCATGAGGGGCAGCTTACAGATTAGGTAAGTGAGGAATGGGGGAGTGTGGAGGGACACCAGTGAATGGACAGGCTCTGCTAAAAAATAAATCTCAATCTAATAACACATGGACTTAACTAGCTGATAATCATCACATTTAGGATTATAGAAAATAATTCAGGACTTCATGTATGAAGTAGGAGGATGTAGTCCCTAATTTTTTATAAATAGTTTTTTTAAAGTTCCATCTCTGCTGTATGTCCCATGTAGTCAGATTCACTATTACCACATCTGTGGACCATGATACATTAGAGAAAAGGGAAATTATTACAGTCACAAATGGATTAACTAGGTGCATTATTTCTGCCCACAGTGTGTTTGGGACTGCACAAAGTATACAACATACACTGGGCAGGATACACTTCCCTAATGTCTAAAATGTCAGTAACCTGTTGTCTTGCTCCTAGACTATTCATTAGTCTCTGCGTGCATTAAGCAATCTGCGTGTGTGTTTTCAGCAGTCTGTGTGTGTGTGTATTCAACAGTGAATGTATGTGTATTCAGTAGTCTGTGTGTGTTTATTCAGTTTTGAGTGTATGTATTCAGCAGTCTCTGTGTGTATTCATCAATCTGCGTGTTTATATTCAGAAGTCTGTGTGAATGTATTCAGCAGTTTGTGTATACATGTATTTAGCAGTCTAGGGGTGGGGAGCAGAAACACAGAGGACAATGACAGAGAGAGGGGCTGAGGAAAGGGACAATGACACACACTGAGGGGCTGGGAAGGGGATAGGAACACACAGAGGGGCTGGAGTAGAGGACAATGGCACACAGAGGAGCTGTGGTTGCGGGCAGGGACACACAGAGGGCCTGAGGGGGGGGGCAATGACACACATAGGAGCTGGCAAGGGGGCAGTGACACAGAGGGGTTGGGAAGAAGATCAAGAGACACACAGAGGAACTGGAGAAGGGGACAATGACACACAAAGGGGCTGGGGTAAGTAAGACACACAAAGGGGCTGAGGGAAAGTAAAACACACAAAGGGGAAGCAAGACACAAATGGGAACAATGGAGGATAAAATAAACTAAGGAGTGTACATACACTAAGAGAGGTAAGACACTCAAAAGATGGGACAAGAAACACAAAATGGGGTTGAAGAGACACAGAGGTGAAAATGTATTTTTTTCTAACAGACTCTCTAATAGATGCTGAGACAGTGTCTGTTAGAGGGTCCCACCTCCAGGGCCCTTTATTATTATTATTATTATTATTACTGGCATTTACAAGGTGCGGGGAGTGTTGTAGGTGCAATCTGGTACTGTGGGCACATTCTGGTGCTATAGCTAGTGCTGTGAATGTCTCGAAGTACCGTGGCAACTGCTGTACACTCTACCAGTGCTATGGTGGTAGCTTTGTGTGCAGTCATTTTTATTTTTATAATTAAGTTATAGTACCTTGATCTAAAACAGATTAGAAATTGCAGTACTTAAATCAGACAATGACAACTTGATTATTTTATTAATCTTTTGCATCAGATTTCTTGAATCTTTTGCATGCCTGTGCTTTATGTGATAATTACTATGCCCCTCCCCATTATGACATTGTCAAAAAGAGGTAGAGCATGGATGTCATCACAATTATGCCCCCCAGCTCCGGAACGCCCATGGACTTCATAATCTTCCGATACTGCTTGCACTTCTCTTCCTCCTCCTTTTTGACGTCCTTTTTGTCCTCCTCCTTCAAGTCGATAAATTCCTCCAAAGGTAGGAGCGAAAAGATTTAGCAAAACTCACCCTTCCATATCGTCTCCTTCACCTTTTGCTTTAAATGGACCCCCAACGGCACCGCGAATGAGACAAACGCATTCTGACAAGCCGCACTCCGTCCACCAACTCCACCCTCTCGGCACCCAAGTCCAACACCGCCGCCGTGCAAGCCACAACTTTACCTGATCTGCACGCGGAAGCGCCAGCAACCACTGTGCCCGCCCCTCCCGAAGCCCCCTTTCCTGGAGCCCACACTTGACCTATGTCCGCTGTGCAGGGAATGCCTCGACAGAGAACGGCTCCGGGGCTTAAAAACAGGAGAAGTCCTGGGCAGGGTGCACAGTTTAGCAGATACCCGCCCATTGCGTCCACCGGATCGTCTGTGCGACACCAAGGCATCCCATCAGTGGCGGAACCACCTGCCCTCCCCCACACCGGAAGCCCCGCTGACCCATCCCCTGGGGCTACGGCTCCTGCCCAACGTCCTGGTGGACCCGGTGCTCAACTACCCACTGGAACTCCCCGAGCGAGAACTGTAAGAACTGCCTTCATCCAAAGGGGGCACAGAGGCAGGACCTAGGGCACTGCCAATACTATTCACTTGATTAACTGTTTCAAATATCATCTTTGCATAAGATACTACAACACAGTCACTATGCTGCTGAAATGTATTATTTGTTCCTGGTGTCAACATACAATAACAATGGAAGATGTAGTTGGTTGTAAGGTAACTTCTGAGTAAAAGCTGCATGTTTTTTTTAACACGATAAACAGTATCCGTCTTATAACATGGTAGGTTTAGGTTTCTATAGACGGTTGTTATTTGTGAATCGCATGGAAAAAAATTCTCCAGTTCCAACTTCCCTTACAGCGTTAAGATGGTGTGAGACATTGGCATCTTTCCTGAAGTCTATTAATTGTTGTTGGATTTGATGGGACTTTTTACTCCTGAACAATAGCAGGTTATTCCATTTTATAATACCATGAATTTAAATTATCAGCAATACCAAGCAATCACTGATGAATGCAGAATACTGTTCCTGTTCTTTCCTTTGTGAATCCATGTCAGATTTGAACACTAATTCAACCTATTACTGCTGACAGTACCAAGTTCTTTATATTCCAGAAGATTGCCATGCTTTTAAAAGAAATTTGCTATGTCATCTACTTGTTTCTCGAAGCAAAATACAATCAAGTTGCTGATCTTCATGGTGCTACTTGTCAAAGACATAGTTTAATGGCAATTTCTTTAAACTCCCAGCTCATTTATACGCATTTAGTAACATTTAAGAATATTCATTCTTCCTTAGTAGTTTATACCATCAAGTTTTACTAGCTTATTGTTTTGCTCATCGAGCCAATTGACATCCATGAAGGAAATGCTCCCTTAATTTTTTATTCCAATTTTAAATTCCTTATATTTAGTTCCAGTTATAGCTGGAAAGGGAAGCACTAACCAGAACATACACCTGTTAATATAATATCTTTTAGAGTGCTCCTGAAATGGGCAAATATAAGCCAAGAGCTAACATTTAGTTCAGGGGAGCTAACAGAAGTTCTGGCTTAAGAGCATATTAATGGGCAGGGGCCATTGATGGCAGGTGGAGGGTCTGCTGCACTAGTGCTGGGCACTCGGGGCTTGATTTAATAAGCTTTTGAAATGACTCATTACATCATTTCCAAATGATGTATATGTTAAAATTTCCATAGACTTTAATGATGACTTCTGAAGATAAATATCATTTGGAGGGTTTTTCAAATAGTATTGCATTGTTTGGAAAGCTTATTAAATAAATGATTTGGTTGGCACCACAGTTGTGCCAATCTTTGAGGGGATGTCCACAACCCTTTGGTCTGAGAGGCAGCTACACTAGTTTCTCCATCGGTAGTTCTGCCTCTGATGGTCTTTTCATTCTCATGGTTTACTATGATGTTTGCAGAACCCATCAATGGCATTATTTGGATATTTTAACATGTAAAAGACATTGGATCATCGGTGCAAGAGCAATATATCTACTACATTTTTCCATCCAAAACACATCTGATTTCTATTATTACTCTTTTTTTGTGGCCTAATTGGCAGTCAATTCAAAGTAAGTTTTTTTACATTCTTTTGGTTTAACTGCTGAAAATGTTGTGTGAAAGTTTGACCTTGATAGACTTGAGACTTTTATTTAACATAAATTACTAGATAACTCACCATGTAACTATGTGCGAAGACTAGAATTTATATGGATGTTTCTGCCCCAATAACTGTATAATGGGTTAGGGCCACCAAAACCAATACTTGAAATAGCCATGTATAGTTTATGTAGTAATTCCTGAATTCTCCCATCCTAGATATGTTTTTTTACAACATATGGCCCTTATAATATAGAGTTGACCTGATTACAATTTGGACTGTTTTTATTATATTATTTTTTTGCAATTTATATTTTGAAGTATACGAAGAGGCATATATTTTTCAGTAAACTGTTAAAAGACAAATGCGGAAAGACGCTCAAAAAGTGAAGATAGAATTCTAAAAGCTGCAAAAACTCCTTAAACACTTTGATATCTCTACACAGCAATACTAAGTATAACCAATACACAACAGGTGATCTAAGAATATTAACACTAAGAATACTTATCTCAACATTTCTCAATCTTCTAATGAGTGTGAGAACATTTAATACACTATAAAGTGCACATCAATTATGATAATGAACATACGCAATCAATTATAAACCATAAATAAATATGTGTAATGGATTATTATTAAAAAAGGATGTTTGATCACTGACTTTTATTTTGTTGTTTATGACACCTTTTTGATTTCTGTTACATTATTTACACTTGTTCCCATGTATGGGACTTTACAATATGGAATAAGGGTGATCCCTCCTTATTAAGACCAGGATGTTGGACCTTCAGACTTTCACCAGGTAAAAAGATAGCTGTGTAGGGATGTTGAAGTGACAAAATGCAGTGTGGTCCATAGCATCACTTTCAGTTTTACGAATACCCTTAACCAAGATGGGGTCCGGAGAAGTGACAGTAACACGCTCTGACTCATACGCGTCACTTCTGTATTGTCCGAATACAGAGAGGGGGAACAGCTGTATATGTCACTACCCATGCAGCTTTCACTTCTGATTGGTGGAATATCAGGAAATCCGACCAAGAAATGAAAGACTAGTAGATTTGAACACGGAGGAAAATGGATGGAACTTATGCCGATTTAGAAAGCCCATTTAGTGGGAAAAATGCATTTTGGGCACAAGAAGAGCCTTCGACATTTATTGTTTATAATTTATTGTTTTATTCATGATTTACTTCACTTTATTTTTTTTTATAAATATTGGTAATAAATGTTTCACAAGTCCTTCTTGTAGCCATAACCACCTATTCTAAAAAAGTCTAGTGCCTCCCTCAAAAAGGGATAGAGCAGTAGAGGAAATGAAGACACCGGCCACTTATGAGAGATAGAACCAAGCCTTGGCTCTAATATCTGCACTCAGTCTGGCTAATTTGAAATTCACTTTGAATTCTGTATATTTCTCAATTTAGTGAACAACCCTGTCTGTGCACTCAGTGCTTTGAATAACGTTAAGATGAGTGGTAGCTTTGGAAGTTTTAAGATGGTGGGGCACCGGACTCCTTCGCCCAGAATTTAACTTTGCCCTTTAACTCTGTAGCTACCATCTTCTGACATGTGACATCTGAGATACAGCCTTAGTCCTGCAGTGTTAAGCTTCCCAACTTTCCAACTAGTCACAGCATGTGTCTCAGTTCTCAGCTACAGTGTGATTGAGAACTTTATAGACGATAACAGACACTGAGTGGCAGACTGCACTATGCAATGTGTTGTAGAAGTTACTAAAACTACTAGTGACAGCCAGCACAGTGCTGGCAAAAAGATCTGTAAATTTTACTGCCTTCCCTTGTCCTCTGACTTTCCTGGATATATATATATTCTATTTTATTTCATTATTTTTTTTTATTTTTTATTATTATTTTTATTTTACACATTTAAGTACATTGCCTTGCTTAATCAGCCTCAGGCAAGCACTTAGGCTATTGGGAGAGAGAAAATTATATTATACCCTTACTTTCGGCAGGTGCAATAAGCTTCTGCTCCTGCTCTGCTACTCTCTCTGCTACTTCCAAGATGGCTTCTTGCTCCTCTCTGCTGTTGGCAGTGTAACCCCATCCCCTGGTGCTTTGAGCCAATGATGGCACCTAAATTGAGAGGCCAATAGCATTTCTCCACTTTTGGGCAGCTGGCTCTGCTGCCCAAATTACAACTCAATGGTGGGCCCCTGAAATTCCTTCTTAAAGGAGACTAGGCATGTGCAAAACCTGTTGAAACAGGGCAAATTTGACCCATTTTTGACATGCCTAGTTGCTTTCAAAATCTTTTCTACACAGCCACCAATGAGGAGGGAGAGGCCCAACAGAGCTAAAACCTATTTAGATCATTTTTTAAAATTATTTTGACACACACATGAATAATGGCTATAGTATGTGAAACTAAATTTTTCCCATATTTTTTAAATTTTTAGATTTAAAATCAGAGTTAAACATTCAACTTTTTTCAACTTATATGAACTTTAGAATGTAACACAATATTAACTTTATTTACATAATGAATGACATAGTAATTTCGAGTCCCCATAAAATACTTTATAATCGCATTACAATATTTTCAGAGATTTTCAAGACCCCCATCAGAATATCATGTTCATAAGCTTATTAAAGTTTATTATTTATTTATAAGACTTGGGCAATTTAGTTGTGTTACCACTGCACATGTTTCAAATTACATTGCAGATAATTCTAAACAGCGCATTACATACTAGATTACAAAGAACATAATATGTACTATAATGAAATCATTTTATAATTACTAGGAAGCTAAAAGCATTTAATTTAACTCTACTGTGCTGGCTATTGGAGATCATTTATTACTAATGCGCTGGAACATATGCGTTTTTCAGCAAATCACATAACAGGAGAAAGTTTTTTGTTTTAAGTTACATGGCTCTCTAGTAAAATAAGAATTTAAATAATTTGCAGAAACCAAAAAGTAGAAAATACACAACATATTAGGAGATTATGTACTATAAGTAGCGGACAACATAACAATAAAATGCAATAAAATCTAAAATGATATTCCACTACGCAATTAGGCGATGAGAAGATGGCATTATAAAATCCTCACTTGCAGTAATTCATTATGACTTACATTTGATTTGCAACATTAAATATCTTGATGATATTATGTTTATTATGATTATTATAAAAATGAGATAGGCAATAATTTGCATGTAGCTCCCAGTGGCTATATTAATTAAACAACGGGTGACCTCTGCTGAAGCCTTAACATTTTTAGTTCACTGTACGGACAAGAAAAACAACATACTTACCATTCTACGGTAAATGGCATTAATATTATACGTTCTAAAAATGATTAATTTATGTTTCTTATACATAAAGCGCACTCTTTGACATTCTAAAAGATGTATGCAATATATGATAGCATTTCTGCAAGTT